ATTCAATTTACGGTCTCCCTACTTCTTAAACGGAGGGAAGTCATATGGTGGTGACTGAAGATCAGAGGTTTGGCTTTCCTATATTACCTTGCTCCTCTATAATCTTCTTTGTGACACAGTGAGAGGGCACTACTCTGTACCTAGCTCTCTGCTAGGAGCATTGCATATATTTCTCCAGTTAATTTATGCAACAACCCTTCCATAGTGAGGAAGCTGAGGTCCAGACAGGTAATAATAGCTAATGAGTATCAGGGCGAGGGTTTGCATCTAGGACCATTTCCTGGGGGCATTTTCTATAAACAAATATTCGGACACATTTTTCAAGACCCATATTAGATGTTTCTTAAGCCGTAAGTGCCCAGGGCCAGTCTAGGTAGCTAGTTATATTAATTTACTTGGGGAGATGTGTGTTTGTGAGAATACCCTGGGGAATGGGGTGGAAATTGGAACATCTAGAAGAAAAAAAAAAAAAGACAATGCTAGAGAAAAAGAGTTTCCAGAATTTAGACTGAAACCAGACTGGTCAGGGATCCAAGACAGTCCAAGGACAGTGGCGCAGGGGAGCTGCTGGGGTTTTGTTGAATGGAAGTCATTTCTTGGAGTCCCTGGTGGGTCTGACACTTAAATGAGTCTTCTTTGCATAGTAGAAATTATGTGATATACAATATAATGAATAATATGCACGCCATAGGAGTTCTTGGCAAGGGGATGCTCTAAAGGAGTAAAATTATGTAACATTTTCTATTGGATAGAATGTTGCAACTGGACTAGAGTAGTTGTCAGGGAGGGGAACAACCTCAGCAAAGGAATGCATGAAGGTAAGAATGCACTTCTTTAGGGAACTGTAGAGAAAGTGGCTTTTTAAAAAATTTTTTACACACACACACAAATATTTATATTTATATTTGGGGGATACTAGGGATTGAACTCAGGGGCACTCAACCACTGAGCCACATCCCATCCCTATTTTGTATTATATTTAGAGACAGGGTTTCACTGAGTTGCTTAGCACATCGCCATTGCTTAGGCTTAGTTTGAACTTGTGATCCTTGTGTCTCAGCCTCCTGAGCCGCTGGGATTACAGGCATGCACCACCACACCCAGCAATGTTTATATGTATACATTAAACAAGTAGAAGGAAGTAAATTTTGAGAAACAGATTGAAGCCAGACAAAGGAGGAATTTAAATGTCAGATGGAGGATTTGGGACTTGATGGTATAGGTAGTAAAGAATTATACTACTCTCTAGAAAATCATGTTCTGTGAAGATTATTCCAGAGGATTTCAATATGATTCAAAGAGGGGACAGAGACTAGTTAGAAGCATGAAAAGCTAAGACTAAAGCTGAATATGGTGACTGACTTCCTACAAGGGACACATATTTTTAGAAGGGGAAGATACTATGTGCTAAGTTCCCTGCCTGTGCTCCTTCCCAGAATGTTTATTCTGTGTAGAGGGAGAAGGAGGTGAAGGTGGGCTGATCCTGGCAGAGTGATCCAGAGTTTTTGTGGACCTGTAGATTATTATCTCAGTCAGGTGAGTGCCCCCTCCCTCCCCACTCTCTCCTTCAGCTGATGACTCAGTTCTCAAACTTGCTTCCAACTTCTGTGAAATGAAGTAGTGGCTCAAGAAATTAAATAAGGGGGGAAAAAAAAAAAGGAACTGTATGTGTGATCTAACTTGACCTTAGCCTTGCTGTGAATGGTCTGGTGCTCATTTGCATTTTCCTTCAAAGAAAGACCCAGGTAGCCAGGGGTAGCAAGTTTGTAGTTGTCATTCACAGTTCTTTGTCCAAGGCTCCTTAGAACACAGCAAAACTAGAACTTCACAAAGGACATTTAAGAAAGTGACCAAAGCAGAATTTGAATTATTATTCCCAATGAATGATAATAAAAACTTCACAAAGTGTTTTTAACTTTGGTAAACACTGCACTGTGAAACTTTCCTTTCTTTACAAGTCTACATTTTTGTTCAGTGTACCAGAGAGATGATTACATTTTTATTAAACCAAACTTCATTCAATAGTGCTCTGTACTAGAGAGATTATAATCTATGAAGAAGAAGAAAAAAACCCACCTCATTGCATAGTTAAAGGAGAAGAGGCCACAAAGGGCCCCTTGGGCCATTAAAAGTATGGAAAGAAATGACCAGTAAAATTGTGCTTTCACTGTATAACTCTTTCCATTTATCATGTGAGAATTTATCAACAATTTCATCCTAGGGGAAAGGCTGATGAATCTCTTACATTCATGAGCTAACATCTGTGCTAAGAACAGATGACATCAGCAATCCAGGAGACTTAGCAGGCAGGATCCCACGAAGGAAGACTCAGGAAAAATATTTCCATGGATCAGGACAGCACTTAGTATAAATCAAGTCTTGGCTATGATCTCTTAGCCTGGGCTTCCTGCTGAACTTTTGGAAATTAGCCTGTATTGTAATTAACACTCCTCCTGCAGTGAAGCAATACATGCTTCTCTCAGGCAGGAAAGAGATCTTTTTCAGCGGTGAGATTCTTGCAAATATGTACCATTTTCAAGTAATGATGGTTTGACTAACAATTTTTTGACTTGATGATGTGAAAGCAATACACTTTCAGTAGAAATCACACTTTGAATTTTGAATTTGGATCTTTCATCAATCTTGGAGCATCTGTACCATGAAACTCTTTCTTTATTCCTTCCTATGGGACTGAGCAATTTAGAAAGCATGCATGATGTCTTGGCCCTTTGAGGCAACTGCTGGGGGCTCAGAATCTATTTCTACAACATGGAGGTGCTATTTTATTGTTAGATCAAAATGTGCAAATTTCTCTAGCAGACTCTCCAAAATGAATACAGATGTGCTCCTGTTGTCAGAAAATTCCATTATTCTGCATTATGAAATGTATTCTTCAATTTAAAAAAATATTGCCCATATCTCTCCTTTTCAAACTGACAAGCACATTCCTAACTCTCTGTCTTTCAGTTCTGTTCCTCCTTGGTTCTCTGACTAGGTTGGTCTCTTCTGTCATGCACCTTCACAGCACTGTTCATTTGCTTTCTCATGCTCTTGACCTTTGCAATAGCTGCCCTCTGTCTAGCCTGCCAGATGATAAGCAGTGTGGGATAGAGACAGTGTCTGTCTTGTCCCTCCATACTCAACATCTGGCACAATGTCTGGCACCTATTGGGCTGTTCACATAAATGCTTATGGAATATTGCTAAATAAATGTTTTCTTTTTAATTAATGGTTATCTTTAGTGCTTTTAAATTATAGTCAACTTTACCAAAAATTGATGTGTACACAAATATTGCAGAACTGTGAAATAATAGCCTTATCTGTCATTTGCATAGCACAGGGCAGTTTACAGGACCCTATTTTATCAATTATTTTATTTGATCTTCACAATCACATTGTGAGGTAAGTAGTGGCCATTGCTATCCCTATTTTAGACAGAAGAAACTGAAATTTAATGTCCAGCCAGCTTTCCTCCACAGTAGGTGACTGAGCAAGAATTCACTGTAGGGCCCATGCTATTCCTTGTCACCACACTGCCTGTGGCTTATAAGCCCTTTGATTAGGGGTTTCCCCATTTGCTCCAAGAAACCTGATTATACACTTTTAATTCAATTCATCTGCAATTGTGGGCAATATTCTTTCTTCCTAATCAGCTCCACCAAACAACTGGGACAAAAAGCTCAAACCAGAGTCCTAGAGACCATCTATCCTAGAATTCCATTCTGCTAAATGTACTTTTTCCACCTGCCCCACCCCTACCCTCAGATGTATTTTACCCCAGACCCATTTTCTGACCTTCCACCAGTGCCTGGCATACCAGCATAGAAAGGGCCTTCAATACACTCTGTGTTAAGGGTTCACACCAGCTCTCCATCACACAGGGAGCCAGTGGCGACCCTGAAGCAGTGTAAGCAAAAGGAGACCTCTTTTATAATAACTGTGGGCCATCAGGAGGTGTTGGTAGCTGCATATCCTTTGATTACCGCCAGTGTTGCCTAAACTCATCCTGTCACCTGTCTGTGTGACGTTGCTGTGTGCCAAAGCAGGTGTTACTGAAGTACAAGGTCTCATTGTTCCATTTTGGTTCCACTTCAGTGAATAAGCAAGAGAGACAGGAAGTGAGGGAAAAGCTTCTCCAGGCTCTTTTACTTGACACTCTGGATCCCAGCATGAGGAGCTGCTGGAACGTCATGGTCTTTGGGTATTTGAGTCATTCTCACACCCACCTGATGACACTGCTTTGTGTGTTCATTGTGGAGTTGCACAAGATTGACCCGGCCAGGAATGTTTGACTGACTGCCCCTTTCTGTCTCTACTGAAAGTTCTCCAGATGTACTCCTCACTCTCCATAATGGTCTTCATAACCTGTAGCTTCTAAATCACTGAAATACAGTAGAATCCTACAACAATGTAGGTTTTGTGTATCACCTGTCTCGTTGCTGTTGCTGTATGTTCTTATTATGCAGAATTATCTGTATGTAATATGCTGTGTTTGCCAGGGGGCTTATATTGCCTATTTAATTGAGAAAGACTTAGATTAGTCTGTAATTTGCTAGTAATGCCAAGCATAGATTAAACTAGATAAAAACAATGTTTAATGATCATTCCTGTATTGATTACATTTAATGTATTGCACACACTTATAATTAGAACTCAGTTAAATGAAACCTACTCTCAGAGGGTTCCATTCAGTACTCATTAACAAAGAATAATTAAATAAAATTACTTAGAAWAATTGGATATGGAAAGCCAAGTTCGAAGGGGACCAACTTAAACACCACTTAGGCTGCCTTTTAAAGGCTGTTAGTACTTTTCATAGTGAAAAAATTAATTAGTGATTTTTATAAATGCAGCACATCAGTCGCCTTAGTTTTAACCTTTCCTTTCTTCTCCCCCATTCTAGGAAATACAAACSAATACTCGTCCATATAAAGTATTTTGTTAGGGGCATAAAGGAAAATTCCCTGATAATGAACCCCACATTTCTTATGTGTTCACAGTAATAAAAGACTAGTGGCCCTAGTGCCCATGCCCAGTGACCCTCCGTTCAACACCCGAAGAGCCTACACCAGCGAGGATGAAGCCTGGAAGTCGTACCTGGAGAACCCCCTGACAGCGGCCACCAAGGCGATGATGAGCATCAATGGGGACGAGGACAGTGCTGCCGCCCTAGGCCTGCTCTATGACTACTACAAGGTGGGTTCTGCCCTCTTGCTTCCCCACTCTTCCTGCCTCCAGGGCTCCCCTCCCGATGGGAGGAGCAGGCCAGGGGACTTCTGTGGAATTCAGCCTCTTCTGTTCTCTTTGCCTCTTTTCGAACTCATCTGTGAAGCCCATCCTCACACCCACCAGAGGAAGTTTCCGTTTGGGGATAACTGTTTCTCATGTCCTTTGTGCACATTCATAGCTATTATGTACATATAATTCTTGCTTAACATCATATCACTCCTACTTCCTTACTGGCATGTTTACTTTGTGGTTATGATTTTTGGTGAATAAAGTGTATTACATTGTGTGGCTGTACCAAGATTTAGCTCCTGCTCAGTTCTCAGGTCACTAGGTTGCTTCTAGAGTTTTCAGTTTTTTTAGGGAATATTTTAGGGGGAAGACTTGCAGAAATTTCAATCCTTACTGCCTCCATTTATTTCAACAGGCACTAAACTTCTATTTTGAAAAATCCTGAAAATGAAATAAATGCAGCCTTAGGAAAAATACTTGCTTTATAGCACTTACAAAATAGAACATTTCAGGAAACCCCACAAGAAGAAACAGTCTGTCTTGAGGGACTATACCTGATATGACCTACTCTCTTAGCAATGTTGAAATGTAAATAAAATAAACAAGTGTTTGCTGAAGGATGGGGATACATTGCCTGGATTTGACTGTGAACATCTTTGTTTTATGCTGGGAATTGGCACAATGGTGAGCTGGCTGTGTTGCTCTTATCTGGGGATGCGAGCCCTCTCTCTGCATCATGGGACTAATATCTTGGACAATATCATCAGGAAGAGCAATTTCCCTTTTAGTGATCATCAGTCTCTGCTTCCTGTTGTCTTATCTGAGATGAAGAGCAAGGGTGAGTGACAGCTGTGAGGGATGGACAGGTCAGCCAACCAGGGTTTTTTAAATGAGGATATTATTAAATCTAATGAACAGTCATTGTTGTTGGGGAATGCTGAGAACTCTATGAAGCACTTTTCATGGGTACCCTTGCTGGTCTAGGCAGACATCCCCTTTATCCAGTCCAGCAGAGTTGGCAGATGTTGTGGTCTTCTATGAAAGTGTGAAACTCCCCACGTGACTCCTGACATGGTGAGAAGGGCCTTAACATTAGGAAAAAGTGGCTTCCAGATGCAAGGATGCTTTAGAGTCTAAACTACATTTCATCTCCTGACAATAAAGGAATAACTTAAACATAAAAAAGAAATAAGCCTGAGAACCMAAATGGTTTCATGGTAGACTTTTCTTTCTTCTTTCCTGTTTGTGGTTGTTTCTTATTCTTTATCTTTTCTGATTAAAGATCTCATCTGAAAAGTACAAGGTTAAATTCTAAGTGTTTCGGAGTGAAAATTTTCAAAAATCCTTTTGGGGATCATTCGAAGCTCAGATCTCATAAAATCTGCTTTATGTCATTTGTTGAGGTTCAGCTTTGTTTTGGTTTCATCCTTAGAAAGTAGTTTTCCCTAATGAGAGAAAAATAATCAAAACTTGACAGTTTTATTTAATTTTTAAAATCCATTGACACATCATTAAAGTGACTCTGATTTAATCATTCAGATAATTACATTTTTCTAACTTTTGTAATGTTAGTATTTCAGTTAATAGCTTTACTATTTAAAAGAAATTTATTGTTCTTATTTTATTCTGTCATTGTGAAATGAACATAGTTTTAGATGTCTCTATGTGATGACAATTCTTTACTTTTAATCAGTGAAATAAAAAGACTTCCTTAAAATGTATTTTATTTCCCATAGAGTCAGAGAATAATCTAGTATGAGTAAATATTGATAATCAAGTATTATTAAATGTGGTACTTAGATTACCTCTCCTCTGACACATTTGCTGAGATTCAAAGGAAAGTAGAAATATTATTTTCTGWCAATATTGTGTGACGTAGGATATGGAATACAATAAAACTCAAATTCTAGCCAAGTTTACGGCTCTTTGTACTGAATTAATATCTTCCAAGATCCGTTAGGGTTCTGGCTCCCTTCATGTCCCAGAAGATTTGCTTTCTTTTTGCTTGAAACATTTTAGTGCCTGTGAAAAGTTTTATTGGACTTGTTTCCAATGATCATTTTTGAGGCTTTGTCTGTTCTCTGGGCTGCCTCCAGTGTATGTATACGGGGTTTAGAGTTATAAAGTTAAACATCCTGGGATGATAGACCTTCTCCTATGGCAAAATGACATGTTAATGAAATAGGAGTGATTTCTCACTTTTTAAAAAATAGAAACTGGGAAGTTAAATTAATGTTAACAATTACTGTCACATTATCATTTAAATTTTATCAACTTTTTATACCTCTTTTGAAGTCTGAAGGCTGAGGCAGGAGGATCGCCAGTTCAAAGCCAGCCTCAGCAACTAACTTAACAAGGCCTTAAATAACTCAGCGAGACCCTGACTCTAAATATCATATAAAAAAGGGCTGGGAACGTGACTCCGTGGTTAAGCACCACTGGGTTCAATTCCCAATACCAAAAAAAAAAAAAAAAAAAAAAAGACAAAAAGAAATAGTGCTCCCTGTCCTTGGAAATTGGCAAAGGCATGTCTTTGTATAATACTTTATAGATCTCAAGTTTCGTTCACCTACATTTTTAACTGTCACCACAGGATCATTGCAGTGGAGTCCATCAGATTTTACATTTTATAGTTAGACAACTAAGTGGAATTTACCCACGGTCACAAGGCAGTCCTGGGTTTCCTAATATCCATTTCATTACAGTGCCCACTATCTTAAAAATGCTTTTATTTGAGCCTATTTGTAAATAGTTCAAAATTTTAAAATATACATTTGAAGCTTGCTATGTTGTGTACTAATTAAGTGGTATTTATTTAAAGAAAACTTATTGAATCTCTTACAATTTAGGGACTCAATTCCAGTGTAGCTCTCACTGCAGTTTAAGCTACTTACCAAGAGCAGCTCCAAAGTCAAGTGGAAACTTTCTAGAATTTCAGGCTTGACAGAAAAACATAACAGATTTAATTAGTTAGATATTTTTAAAAAGGAGTTGAATTTATGTCTTAGTCTGTTTTCTGTTGCTATAACTGAACACCACAGACTAGATAATTTATGGAGAGTTAAGGTTTATTTAACTCATAATTCTGGAGGGTGTGAAGTTCAAGGACATGAAACTGGCATTTGGTGAGGGAATTCTTACTGCATAATAACATGGTAAAGGATATCACATAGCATGACAGATTATGTATTCTAGCTCAGGTCTCTCTTGGTCTTTTTCATAAAGTCACAGATGTCACTATTGAGGCCCCATCCTCATAATCTACTCTGATTCTGATTACTTCCCAAATGCTCCACCTCCAAATCTCATTACCACGAATTTAGAGTTTAAGTTTCCAATAGGTGAACTTTTGGGGGATGTGTTCATACTGTAGCAACTTACTCTTACTTTAATTTTCCTTGACAGTTTGTTATAATCTGCCCGGTCAGTAGGTTCCTGTCTGTTCTGCTGACCTGGTAGTGCTGGAAGTAGTTTGTTGGTTTGTTTATCCAACAAATATTCACTGTTTAGCTAAGATCTTCTAACAGTAGTGATAGATATCATGAGGGTGGATTGGATATCCACCTCAGAGAAGCCACAGAGTCACAGGCCAGGATAAACCACCTATAAACCTGTAACCCATGCATGGAGTAAGTGCTGTGTTTAGGAGCAGTAAATTGACTGACAATTTTCCAGAGTCCACAGTCATACCAGAGGGAGCAATGCCGGCTCTGCTGCAGAATAGAAGAGGTTGTCAGGTGGACAGATGAGGAGAGAACCTGTCAGATAAAGGGAACAGGAGACAGAAAACATGGGCTGTAAAATGCCAAATTGAACTCAGTGGAATCCAAGTAATGGTGCAGCTGAACAGGGGAGGGAACTGAGGTCAGTCACGAAGGCAGCAGCTCTGTTTTGAAGAGCCTTGCCAGGGCAGGCTGGAGGGCAGGGGCGGGCCAGGGTTGGGTGCATGGTCTTGCTTTTTGCAAAATAAATGAATGAATGATAAATATTTATAAGCTATTGAGAATTATTTAAAAAAATCAGCTTTTCTACTTTTCTTTTTTTCTAGCCTCCTTGAGGAATAATTGACAAATAGAAATTATATATATTTAAGGCCAACAACTTGATGTTTTGGTATATCAGCTTTTCATTTAAGTTTGTGCAAATCCATTATGGACAATGAAGAAAAGCTTACAGAAGAAAATGAAAAGTTTATAATCCTTGTGTTATAACATTTGACTTAAATTTCCTCCAATTCCAAAGGATTTTGAGCTCAGGTATCATAGACGGGAGATATTATCCACGCATATTATAGCAGCTACAGCAGAGAGGTGGATTGAGGGGAGAGAGTTCAAAAAGCAGTCCATTGCATTAGTTCAGATGAAAAATACTGATCTAAAGGATGAGTATGGGGGAGGGGAGTTCCCTGGATCAGCATTTGTGAGTGTTTTTTCTAAATCATCCATTCAAACAGGCACTACAGAGAGACAAAGCAATATACTCAAGAAATTATTAAGTAATCATTTGAATAAAAACTGGCAACTGATTGTGTGTGAGAGAGACAGTTGCTGGGGAGAGCTCAGAACTAAGAGCAAGATGCCTAGATGAGTCTGGGGTGATCAAGAGTTTGAAGAGCTTGTAGGAAGTCCAGGTGAGATATAGTAAATGTGGATCTAGTGCTCAAGAGAGGGGACAGAGTTCAGAGGTCTAAGTTTCTCTGAAAACAGCCTGCAAAGCCCAAGGTGATCATGGTTCAKAGAGGCCTGGATTGCAGCAAAGCCAAATAATCAGCAACCAGCAATCATCTCTATAGCTTTTGTTCAACACTGTAGAATGAGCACAGCTGTCTGCCCAGAGCTCATCCTAGTGGCTCTGGGCAACAGTAACATTCCTTTCCATGCCTCTTTGGAGTGAGTTTGGAATCCCCATGTTGTTTTTTTTTTTTTTTTTTTTCTGTTTATTCGGTTCTGCCTTCCCTAGGCCATTGGAATTGATGAATTCATTCTTGCAGTAAGTATTCTGAGAGGACCTATTACATCCTAGGCACTTAGGACGTTACTACACAGGATAGGTACTCATGGAGATTGTGGTCTTATCATGGATACAGAAATTCAAATGGGACTTGAGGTCTAGTCAGGACTATAAACCTGGAAAAGGTGTGGAGGTGGGGAGTGGGTTGTGTTCCAAGCTGAGCCAACTTTGTGTGAGGGCTCTCTTTTGAGAAGGAGCTTTGCATGGTCATAGAGACCCTGTGGCTCAAGAGTGATAGGTAGCAACTGGGCTGCTCGTGCTGAGTTGAGAGGCTTTTTGGAGGTCATGTTCCTGAGAGTACGAGAGAGTTTTAAGTAGCAGCATGAGAAAATCAGACTTGCATTTTTATGAAGACCACTTGGATGCAGAAAGGAATTGCGGGAATTGAGTGAAGAAGAGGAGAGATTCAGAAGACGGTTGCAGCCCAGGCAAGAGGCACTGGGGGCTGAGTCTAGAGGGTGGATTTTAGACACAGGGTATTTCATGCCACCTGGTTGGTGGGGAATGATTCAAACAAGAGAATGTGTTTATGCCATAACACAGAACCTATGGAAGGGACCATAATGAAGTAAAACATCTGTCCTGTGCAAGGCCCTTCCTCACCTGGCTTTCACTCATCTCTGAAGAAACCTCTCCCACTTATACATTTCTTGCTCTGGCAATGACTTCCTTATTCTCTTATATCCTGGAGTTTTATAGAAGCAATTCCCATAGCTAGAAAGCCTTCTCCATCCACCCAATAAATTCTCTCCCAATCTCAGTGATGCCGGAAGCTATGTCCTCTAGTTTTCCAGAGCACCTTGCACATAGCTCAGTTTTACATCAAATCTCTGGGGACTGGATTTTTTAAAAACACTATTAGGGAACACTATGTATGTGTAGAGAAGCCAGGTGCTTCCTGGTGGGGATGAGCTGTGTGGTAAACCAGGACACAGCCGCAGGAAATCTGGGGAGACAGGGTCTTCTCCTTAAATACTGTTTTCTCCCTACCAGCTTAAAAGAACACATTCTGGTAAAATATGCATGACATAAAATTTAGTCATTATTAAGTGCACGGTTCAGTGGCACTAAGTAAGTTATGTGAACATTTCCACCATTCATCTCTAGGACTTTCTCATCTTCCCAAGCTGAAACTCTATACCCATTCACCACTAACTCCTCATTCTCCCCCACCCGACCCCTAGGGATTTCTATTCTGACTTCTGTCCCTTCTGTCCCTTCTGTCCCTATTCTAGATGCCTCATATAAATGGAGTCATACAACATTTGTCCTTTTGTGTCTTAGTTTATTAGCATAATATTGTCAAGTTTCATCCATAGTATAGCATAATTGCCATAATTATAGCAGAATTTCATTCCTTGTTAAGTCCAAATAATATTCCTATGCATGATATACCACATTTTGTTTACCCATTCATCTGTTGATATATACTTGGGTTGTCTCCTTTGGGTTATCATGAATAAAGCTGCAATGAACATTGGTGTACTAGGTATTGAAATTTTATGATCTGTCCTCTTCAATACATGACAGGAACCATGTTTTATTCATGCCATTTCTATATAATACTTAACAATGCCTGGTACATTGTAGACTCCCCAAATTAACATAAAGGACTTACAATTGATTTATTTTACTTTAACAAATACCTATAAAGCACCAGACCTTCTAAATGTTTTTAAAAATTTACCTCATTTAATTTTACTAAAAGCCTATGAAGTAGGATGACCATTAAGCACAGTTTACAGAGATGAGGAAAGCTGAGTTTAGTCAGAGTCAAACCCAGGCAATCAGGCTTTAGGTTTTGACCCTTGGTGACCCTGCTGTCACCTCCCTAGTCCAGCTACCTGGGCTTGCATACATATCTGGGCTATAGGAATTACTCAAGGAGTCCAGTGGAAGAATGTTTCTCGTCAATGTGTTTATATCTTAAGATGTGAGGCTGCATTTGAATGCAAAGGAGATTGGTTAAAAGAAAATCTGAAGATGTATTGAAAATCCAAAGACAAACAGGTAAAAAAATAAAAACAAAAACAAAACTAAACAACCAAATAAATCCCAACCTACTTACTCATGTGTTTGGAAACGATGGCCGAGCAGAGGATCCATGATACAGCAGGGAGATGATGGTTGGAGAACTGCTGGTCGGGTGTCCTCCTAAGCACCTTTTCAGTAACACTTCTGGTAACACGTTGGCATTAGGGTTAAGATGATAATGAAAGTGCACTGGAAAAAGAAATTGTGGAGTCAAGTTCCCAAGCTGTGTAGGGAGGGTGGTTAATGGGTGGTCCAAGCATATTAGCTGCTTGTTCCCCCACTGGCTGAGAGTGTGGTCCCCTCCTCAATCCCCCTATTCTTTTTTTTTTTTAAAGAGAGAGAGAGAGAGAGAAAGAGAGAGAGAGAGAGAGAGAGAGAGAGAGAGAGAGAGAGAGAGAGAGAGAGAGAGAGAGAGAGAATTTTAATATTTATTTTTTAGTTTTCGGCGGACACAACATCTTTGTATGTGGTGCTGAGGATCGAACCCGGGGCCGCACGCATGCCAGGCGAGCACGCTACCGCTTGAGCCACATCCCCAGCCCAATCCCCCTACTCTTGTTGGCACCTGATGTCCCTTATCAGAGGGATAGTCTTTGCTCCTTAACAAGATGCTTTCTGTAACTCCATGATGCTTTCTGTCTGCTCAAAGGCACCCATGTCCTGACTCAACCCATACAAGTTGCTCCTCTCCCAAAGTGGGGAGGGCATGGAGGTATCAGGGCCAGGGACAAGGTCATCAAAATCATGTCTGTTGTGACCTTATGTTTATCACTACCCCCTTTTATTCTGGGTCCACTGTCATTGTCACTCAAGCTCCTCACTCTTTAACATCTCCTGACAGTAACAGATTTGCCATTTCTTCCCAGAGAATGTTCCATTGTGATTTCTTTGCTTACACTGCTGTCTGGCTCTGCACACGGTCACTGTTGCCTACATGTCAGTCTGATTGATTGATCATGTTTCCAGGTTCCTCGAGACAAGAGGTTGCTGTCTGTCAACAAAGCAAGTGACAATCAAGAAGACCAGGATAAAAGGTATGATGGGTGTAAAGGAATCTACTGAACCCCCAGCATATCTCCTTTTCTACATTTTTTTGAAAAAAAGTAGTATTCAACTAATGAAATTTTGTTCTTGAGAGGTGATGTGTTCAAAAAGCTTTGCCCTCCTCTGCCTGTTGGAGTTTGGACCCAAACTGAATCTCTCACTAGGGAGAGAAAATTCCATTGTTTTGATTATGCATCCGGAAAGTCATCAGCAAGCTTTTCAAATGAGGAGCCTGCCAAGGAGGCTTAGAAGCCTGAGAATAGGCTAGCAAGGGAGCCAACTGCTGGGGTAAACATTTCTGACCAGTACCATGGCTCCACCACTGCGCCAGGCCTGGAGGGAGTGAGACACGGAAGGATCAGCATCAAGGATTCCTCTTCCTAAGGGAGGTGGTAGGGCTTCTTCTTAGCCGAGGGAGGCAGCTGGTGGAGGGCCAGGATCTGTGTGAGTGCTCTTTAGGTGCAAAGGTGGGAAAGCCATTAGGAGATCATTGTGTCACCCCCTGTGCACACACACCTTTCTGCCCCTTTCAATTAAGAGCCAGTAACAACCAGGACACAGATAAATTGATATTTAAAAGGGGGAAAAAATGCCACCAATTTTATGTCTAATGAAACCAATTGGAGAATGTGACTTGAAATCTGTAGCCCATAAATCTTCAGTCTTGACTTAGGTGACTCAAGGTAGAACGTCATACCACTGTGGTACAGCTGCTGTCTTTTGGTTCAGGATGATCCAAACAAAAGGAGGGGACCACCTTTCAGCTACTTCCCTTCAAGTCATCTACTTTTCCTCTGCAGTGGGATGGAGAGAAATCACAGGGGTTTTCTCTAGAAGTTTCTTTCACATGGAAATATGAAGCCAGGAAAAATAAAATCTCCAGCCAGTGTCTATGTCAGAAATGTACCTGTCCTGGATAGAAACTGCTATGACATTATGATCTTTTTTTTTTTTTTTTTTTGCCTACTAGCAGAGGTCACTCTGCTTCCTAGCATCCCTGGGCTCTGCAGCCCCTGTATATAACCCACCCCAGCAGATCACACTGTCTGTGCCTCATTCACTGTTCCACTAGGGACTTTCTGAAACTATCCTGGGGTCTCAGGACCTCACTCTTCAGGTCTTGTGACATTTCCTCCATACAGTCAGTCTTATTGAGCTAATGGCTTGTGCTGTCTGTTAAGCCTAGGCCAATAATCACAATGGAGTCAGGGCACAATGAGCCTAGGCAATGTGCTTTGTCTGCATACATCAGAGGCAAGAGAAGCCATTTTTTATTAAGGCATATTTTAGAACAATATTTCAAAGTGACAGCACTCGTTGTATTTCAGCAATTATTTTTGTGATTTCCATGAAGCACCTTAAAAAAAAAACCTGGCTAGGAGGTAGAGTAAAGCACCTTGTATAGAATAATTATGACTTAGCAGACTTCTCATTGAATCTAATTTGGAAGGATATCATTTTGATCTGCTATGTGTTCATGAATTAAGGTGCCATGTGCTAACATGATATCATTACAACTGTTTGTATACAGAAGTTACTACTTGGGGAAAATAACAGACTCTCAATGACACAATCCAATTTTTTTTATAAAGTGTCTTCAGCGCACCATTCTTTGTATGGCAATTTTTTCTTACAACATAGCTCAATTCTAAGTTCTATTGCAGGCAAGCCAGTATCCCACAATAATTCTTCTTTTGTTCTAATTTCCCATTTCTTGGATATCTTTCTAAAATTCTCTGGCATCAGCTTCTGAAGTTAATTTTATGACAGAGGCATAGTCACATATCATAGTGTGGTGTCTGAGTCGATTATTTCCTGGTGATATGGTAATAACAATTCAGCTAGATTTATACAACTCTATAGTTTGCTTATTTATGTGTTAATAAGAACACCAGAGGATATTTGGACTTGTGCTCTTTGTTTAAAATTAATGCTTTACATGAAATAAAGAACTGAAAAATCTGGCCTGAAATAGACTATAGACAAGTTTGAATATTTTGGCAAAGCCAAAATATGTGCCTGTGTGAAGTCCAGAGTGGAAAGTGGGTAATTGCCTTGGCAACCAATCAGGGTAGACAAACCCATCATTACTCAATCTGCAGGACCTTATCCACAAGAATTGTTTTTTTTTTTTTTTCCTCCACCAGAGGGGTTTGGTAAATTCTAGGTTCCAATTTAACTAGTGAAGGAATGACCGGGGGCCCTTACTGTGTTCATGATGTTGAGGCCCACTCAGGGTGGTCTTGTTATGGCAATACTTTTTTTCTGTTTTTTTTTTTTTTTAACACTGATTTTATCATGAGGTTTCTTTTTTAAAAGAACAACCATTAACATTCCATGCAATGTTCTAAACAACGGGGCTTAGGAGGTGCTGATGTAAATGGGTGGTCTGGCTTTTGGCATTATCCTCCTAACTGGATTCAGATGAAACATAATTTCTAAATCTTCACTGTGTCTTATATGTGATTCACTCCATTGATCCTACCATGAAAACGGGTTAATGCTGAAAGCCAGAATGTCTGTATGAGTTCCTAGAATTATTACTATTGTTTCCATAGAACTGTGACAGACTCAGAGATGTTTAGACATTTTTCTGTTGGCTTTGTTCACGGGGAACCTTTCTTTCTTCAAACTTCGCTTTGAAGTTTTATCTGAAAATTCAAAGCTAAAAACACCCATGTCTTGCTTGATAGGTGAGCTCAGAGGCTATTGGACTTCTTCTGATAGAAAGGAGCCACAAGAGCCCAATTTTTTGAAGACAAAATTTTATTCAAATATTTCACTCAATAAGAGATGCTAATCAGCCCCAGAAATTTCATGCTATATAAAAAACAAACAAATTTTTAAAAAACCCCAAACATCCCAGATTATTTAAGACAAAGATTCATGGAAAATGTGTATTTATCTCCATAATATGGATAATAGTCATAAATGAATAAAAGTGTTCCTCTTCCAATTTTACAGAACAGAGGGATCTTGCTAGTAAAATCAATAATTATCTTCCATTTATATGTTCCTCTTTGCTTCTGCTCGCTCCTGGAATTCTTTAGTCTAAATGAAAGTATTTCATTCTAACCTGCCAAGAATTAATTTTCTAAACCCACTCCTTTCTCTCTACCCGCCAAGAGGTCAGAGATCTTGTTATCCATAAGCTCAGTTATAGCATTTATTTATTTATTTATTTTGGTACYGTGGATTGAACTCAGGAGCACTTGACCACTGAGCCACATCCCAGCCCTATTTTGTATTTTATTTAGAGAAAGAGTCTCATTTAGTGCCTTACTTTTGCTGAGGCTGGCTTTGAACTCATGATCCTCCTATCCCAGCCTCTGAAGCCACTTGGATTACAGGTGTGCCCACCACTTCCTGCCCAGTCATAGCACTTCCTTAAGATCCAAAAGTACCTCAGTGCTAACAATGTCTGTCTATGTACTCAAGCTATTTCTCAATTTGGGAAAGATACTTTAATCATAAATTCTTATTTCTTTTTTCCTTTAAGAAATTTAACCCACAGAATGGTGAAAAATATCCCTCCTTCCACTCTTCAAATTACCATGCTTATCCTGTTGTGTTTCTCTCTTTCTCTTAAAAACTTTTGAGAGTTTGCAACCACATACAGAAGTGCAGAGGACAGTACAATGTCCTCCTCAAATGCTCATTGCATCTTCCAACTCATACTGATAAATTTTCATCACACCACCTTGATATCCACAATTTCCCTCTTACTCATTCTTCCTTCATTTTAATCCTGACACCACCGTCTTTTTACTTCTAACCTCTTCTGATTTGAACCTCCAAAAACAATATTTTATTACACAAACACAAAATCATTATCACAACCAACTAAGTTAATGCTACTTTCTTAAGTTCCTAGTCCATAGTCAATTTCCTCAAAAAGTCCCCCTGCCTCCTACTATCTCTTCAATTTGTTCAAGTCAGGGTCCAAACATGATCCACTCATCCACTCATCATACTTGATTATTAGGGTTTTTAAATAATTTTTGATTTAAAACTGTCCTCCTTCCTCTTTTATTGCTGTTGTTGTTTTTTTGTTTTTGTTTTTGTTTGTTTGTTTGTTTTTTTGTGCCTTTGACTTGTTGACAAATTTAYGTCAGTCAGGTGTGCTACATTCTGGTTTGTTTCTTTTTGTTTTTTAAATATTTCTTCCAGTTCCTGTATTCCCAAGAGCTGAAAGTTAGGTCTAAAGGCACGATCAGATTTAGGGTCAACTCTTTTTTTTTTTTTTTTTTTGAACAGTGATGCTCTATGGTGGCACTGAGTAGTTGACATTGGGAGATACCAGGGACATGCATGGCTTGTTGTCCTGCTTCTGGTGATGTAAAAATCCTTTGCATTCTGTTGTGAGGTTCCATGTTAACTTTCCCCTTAGTGGCTGCCTGCATGGGGTATTTCTTGCGAGTGGCAAAGTGGTGACTTTTCTAATTGTATGACATTGCGGGGGGGTGGGTCTGTACACACAGAAACTGTCTTGGCGCCAGTGAAGCCCAGAGTAATTTGAGTGGAGGAGAAAACCGCGTGCAGGTCCTAAAGACGGTTCCGGTGAACCTTTCCCTAAATCAAGAGCACCTGGAGAATTCAAAGCGGGAACAGTACAGCGTCAACCTCACCGAGAGCCCCGCCATCATCCCGGTGTCAGGGATCACCGTGGTCAAAGCYGAAGATTTCACGCCTGTGTTCATGACCCAACCTGGGCACTACACCCGGGGAGACGGGGAGGAGCAGCGCGTGGTTATCTTTGAACAGACTCAGTACGACCTGCCCTCCATCGCCAGCCACAGCACCTATCTCAAGGACGACCAGCGCAGCACCCCGGACAGCACCTACAGCGAGGGCTTCAAAGACGGCACCACGGAGGTGAGCGAGGGCTGAGCTCCACTGAGCTCTCTCTTCTCTTTTTAAATGGATTAAATGAATGGAAATGTGAGTTTAGGTGTTTTTATGTGTTCGTTGGTATTCTGGAATTTTCTCTAGGTGAATGGATGTGTGTAGAACATTGCAAATTTTTGGCAAGTCTTAAATGACAGATTSTTTTAGCTTTAGTCTAAAGATTAAATATTTTGGAGGCATTAAAAAATATTCTTCCCAAGCGTAGTGGTGCACATTTGTAATCCCTGTGGCTCCAGAGGCTGAGGCAGGAAGATCATGAGTTCAAAGCCAGCCTCAGCAACTTAGCAAGGCCCTGTGCAACTCAGTGAGACCCTATCTCTAAATAAAATACAAAAAAAAAAGGGGGGGGGTTGGAAATGTGGTTCAGTGGTTGAGTGCCCCTGGGTTCAATCCCTACCAAAAAGAAAAAATGAAATTGTTCTTGCTTAGTAAAGTTTCCACCTTGACCTCCTCTAGTAGTAACCTCCCAAATGATAGGTAGCAAAAGACATTGCCTATCAACTCTTTTTTAAAAACAATGTCATTTTTAAAAACCTTGTTGGACTGAATATTTGAGGAGAAGGTGTTCTATCTATAGTCCATTTTATGTGTGTGTACTTTGTATTTTATGCTGGAGACTACATATTTTCAGGTGCCCATAGAATGTACAAGAACAATAATCTTTGCTTCTTTAAGTTCATATGTTCAGAGTGCTGAGTTTGAGAGATTTGTATACAGTTATGTAGCTGTCTTTGGAATCACCATGTAGAAAGTTCCTTCACCCTAAAAGTTCCCTTAAACGCCCTCTTCCTCTTTGGCTCTTGGGAAATGCTAATCTGCCTTTTGTTACTATATTGTTGCCTTTTCTAAAATGTCAGGTAAATAGAATGATAGAGTGTGTGCATAGTCTTTTATGTTGTCTTCTTTCACTTAGCATAGTTTTATGTTTCACTTATGTTGCTTATATGATTTTTWAAAAAATTGCTGAGTAGTATTCCATGGTAAGTGTATATCACAGTTCGTTTACCTTTGTACCAGTTGATAGATTTTGGTTGCTTCCAGTTTGGGGCTAATATGAATAATGCTGCTATAAATATTCATGTGTTTATTTTATTTTATTTAGTCCAGCCATTTTTTTTTTTTGTATTTTATTTAGAGATAGGATCTCACTGAGTTGCTTAGGGCCTGGCTAAGTCACTGAGGCTGGCTTTGAACTCACGTGTGATCTTCCTGCCTCARCCTCCTAAACCACAGAGATTATAGGYGTGTACCGCCAAGCCCAGCTTCATGTGTATCTTTTAATGTGGACAGAGGCCTGTCATGAGTAAATACCTAGGGCTGGAATTGCTGGGCCATTTGGTAAATGCACATTCAAGTTTACAAGGGACTCCCACACAGTGCTTCAAAGTGATGGTACCATTTTCATTCCCATTGTCAATGTATGAGGATGCCTGCCTTCTACACTCTTTCTAAAACTGGGTATGTCACTCTTTCTAACTTTAGCTATTTTAGTTATATAACATGGTATCTCATTTTGATTTGAGTCTGCATTCTCTGATTTCTGTTGAGCTGTTTCATATACTTATTTGGCCCTCCCTGTGACTTCTTTTGTGAAGTATTTGTTCAAATTCTTTGCCCAGTTTTCAAATGGGCTTATTTATGTTTCTTTCATTAGGTTGTAAGAGTTTTTAAGTAGTGTGAATATAAGCTCTTTATCATCTTGTTTTGTATCTTGTACCTTTTAGTTTCCTGAATGTCTTTCAAAGAGCAACAGTATTTAATCTGATGAAGCTTACTTTGTCAATTTTGTCCTTCATCGTTGATACTTTTGGATATTGTTTAAGAAGTCTTTTCCTATCCCAATGTTACAACAAATTATTTTTTCCCTGTAGATGCCTAATAACTTTACCTCTTACATGTAGGCTTCTTATCCATTCTTAGGTAAATTTTATATTTGATATGAAGTAAGGAAAAAAAGTTCTGTTTCCCCCACACACATTGATAATCAGTAGTTCCAGCATCGTTTGTTGAAAAAATGATCTTGCATCCATTTAATGGCCTTGAAATCTTCTCAAAATATCTGTTCATGATATAATCGTGGGCCATCTCTCCAATATTTGACCTAGAATATGTAATGCATACCTTTAGTAGATCATCACCTTCTTTACCTTTAGGGAACAGTGCGTCTACATTTGAGATACTCATTGGCTTTCCAATTTTAAACATGATGGCAGAAGGGGGAAATGGGTGGTTTTTAATTTCYTAAAGAGGAGAAGCATGGTGGCAGCATGCCAAATATCTTCAGCTGGCTGCTTATTTGGGACAAAAATGTAGTTACTGGAGTTTGGGATTTCATTGCTAAATAATAATATTTAAAAATAATAAACACTTGGTAAGGGTTGGGATTGTGGCTCAGTGGTAGGGCACTTGCCTAGCATGTGTGAGATACTGGGCTCAAACCTCAGCACTATATAAAGATAAATAAATAAATAATAAAAGTATTGTGTCCATCTACAACTAAAAAATATTTTTAAAAAAAACCCCAACACTTGGTAAACACTTGCTGTGTGCTAGGCATCCATCTTAGTCTGTTTTGTGCTGCAATAACAATGCTGGAGCCTGAGGAATTTTCAATGAATAGAAATGCATTTGACAAGCTGTTCTGGAGGTTGAGAAGTTCAAGATCAAGGAGCCACATACACTGAGGGCCTCCTGCTACATCATCCCATGGCAGAAGGGCAGAAGGGCAAAACATACACACGTGTGACAGAGTGCTGAATTTGCTCTTGTAACAAACCCACTCTGGCAGTAAGAACCCACTTTCTTGGGGCCGGGGGTGTGGCTCAGTGATAGAGTGCTCATCTAGCATGTGTGAGGCACTGGGTTCGATCCTCAGCAGCACATAAAAATAAAATAAAGGTATTGTGTCCACCTACAACTAAAAAATAAACATTAAGCCAAAAAAAAAAAAAACCACTTTCTCAGTAACAATCCACTTCCACAACAGTTACCTTAATCCAGTCACCATGGCCGTCCTCACAATCTGTCATCTTTAAATATCCCACCTCAACACTATTACATTGGGGTTAATGTTTCAACACAGACACTTGGGACACATTGAAACCAGAAAACATAGCAGTATCATTCTAGGTGATGTGTACTCATTAATCCTCCTGAAAGCCACTTGAGGGGGTAGCATTATTGTCAAATTTCTTTTCTTAATGAAGAAACCAGGGCATAGAGAAAACAAGAATTGGTCACTGAGCAGCAAGTGGGAGTGATGGAACTTGACCCAAGCTGGCTGCTCCAGCACCTACATCCTTAACTTTCACCTCCATACTCTTGGAGAAGACTGTGTGGGACCTTCCAATTCTCAGTAGTTCCATTGCTTAAGTCAGTGACTTGCCAAATGTTTGTTTAAAATCTGGGTGTCCTTTATCTATGGCCATAGATAGTTCTTATCTTCTGGGTGGGGAGAAGAGGCTGAAAAGGTTGGCAAGCAGCATAAGCTCTCTGCAGTCCTGCGGGAGCTGGTGCACCCAACCCTGCCACTCCTGACACCAGTCATTTAGGGGCACCTGTTGTATTCTCTACAATCAGCATGACCAGAGCCAGACATGAGAAATTCCCTGCCCCTAAGAGGCTATCATATTTCTTGGCGTTTTGTGGCTTTACAACTAAACTTTTATTATCCTCATAATAAAAAAGGAAAAAAAGGCTTACAGTTAGCTTCCTGTTATGATGCTGAAAGTAATTTTAAAAAGTTTCTTTTAGCTGAGTGAGGGATCTTGTAGAGTCTTTGATATACTGTTGAATACTCGATTTGTCCCCCCGCAGTCAGGGATGCTTCTGTAGGAAAAACAAATAACTGAATCTACCACTCCATAATCCCAGGTGAGGGATTAGGTACAAGTTTCTTCACCAGTGGGTTGCCACTGATGTATTTTCTCACACTTTCTAGAGACATTCTGTTAGTCACAGAAGAGTGTGTGGACATGGTCCAATGTCAACGGAAACATCATACTATTGGGGGGATGGGATATCAGTTGTGTTTGTGTTGTAGATAAAGAGCCATGTGAAAGGAAGCTATTGTGTTCGGAGCTTTATTTTGGAGTCAATGAGAAAGCAAAGGAACTTGCCAAAAGCTAAAAATGAAGCATTTGGGTTGAGCTGCTGCTCTTCTTGTCTTGAAGATTGGAGTTTGTCTTGTAGATTGTATTTCAGCCTGATGTAAGTTAAACCAAATGATCTGCTATGATCTTGAGTCTGCTTTTTTTTTTTTTTTTTGGTTGTTGTTGTTTTTGCAACTGGTTCTAAGAGCAAGTTTGAAGTATTTTCACCAAGAAAATTTCATGAAGGAAAATTTGTCTAAAATCTAGTACTTCTTTTAGGCAAACTAAGAACATTTCTGGAACTCTTGTTGAATAAGTGAATTTCATTTTGCTGTTTGGGATGGATTCCTCTGTGTGTTTGTCTAGCAGGAGGGAAGGGAGCAGTTTGGATTGGATACTGTCCAGATGTAGGGGCCCTCAGAAACCAGGTACTTGGTAATCATTGTTCAAGGGATGGGATGATCAAAGTGGAGCTGGGGATGTCTTTGCAAAGAAAGCTGAAATCACTTAGGGAAGGGGATGTTACCTGCTCTTGTAGCTGTGCTATCGTGTCCTGGGCTGGATACTGCTATTCTTCTGCCTTGTCTATCCTCCCCCAGAAGCACTGAACTCTCTTAGGACCATCCAGGCCAATTGTCAGTGTTGATTTTCACTTTCTCGGTTGTGTATTTTTCTTGTTTCTCTACTTGTTGAGAATCCTGTTGTTTTTCTATAGAGGGCTTGCACACTATTTATAATTTTTTTGATTTCTTAGAGATATTTGAAAAATAAAAGGTCACAGTGAGAAGACTGGGTGTGTGTGGCCAATCTAGTGCTTCTCCACCAGTATTATATTATTCCTGCTTTAGGATCAAGAGTTAAGGCTTTGAGGCATATACTTTTGAAAATGTTCTAAAATGTAGCAAAATGTATTCTATTTGAACCATATATATAAACAAACATCTCTGGACCCAAGCTTCTTTTTGTGCAATACTAGACTTAAAGTTTCCTCCAAAACCCTACTCTTAAAATGTGATCATGGAGATCCCTAGAGAAGGGCCTTGACCATGCTCAAGCTGTTACCACTCACTAGTGCGTAATACACATCCATAGTGCTCACTATGTACCAATCACTTTTAGTAATATTTTGTTAGCCTATTTAGTCCCTCTAATTGGTAGGCACTTAACAGATGGAGAAAATATCAAGTTGGCTTTATTTTATAGGAATATCAGGTAAGAGAGCTAGAAGTTGGCCCTGGACAATCTTGCTCTAGAACCTGTGCTTCTAACCACTCTCCTATGTTGCTACATTATGTGCCCTCTGTGTTATTAATATTCCATGAATTCAGAGTTTGTGATATTTGTAAGAGTGTTGGAGAAAATAAAAAATGAAAGTGATATTTTATGTTTGAAGAAATAATTTCTAACTGCAAATGCTTTGGGAACACCTGTGGACATGTGAATAACATCCAAAGCCTGAATGTATCTTCTGTTGAGTGTAACCCTCAGGGAGGAGGTGGTATGTGAGTTCTGTAAAGAGGTGGAAACTATTTTTGTCATTTGAAAACATAATGCCCCCAATATACAACTTTCCTTTCTAAGGGGAGGCTAAAACAGAATACACTTATCATTTTTTTCCTTTGGTGTACTGACCTACTTTTTTTTTTTTAATGACTTAAATTTTGCAGAAATTTCGGAGTGCTTCAGTTGGGGCTGAGGAGTACATGTATGACCAGACGTCAAGGTAGGTAAACCAGAAGTTGCACCTTCATTAAGGATCCTTTAACTGTTCCTGTAAGTTACACTTTTGAACAATTTTTTCTTTGTGTACTTTCATAGAACAATCTGATTTCCTTTGCCTTCCATTCTTTGCTCTGTGCAAATGAACTTCTACATCATTATTTCCAATCTTGACAAATTACCTTCTAAAAAATGGAAATGCATAGATGATTTGTGTGTAAAATCCAAAGCACTGTGTGATTGGCTCTCAGTTCAGTCACTTGGCCTGATTTCTCTTCTGCTGCCACCACTGTCAGATGGTTTGAGCAGGTCTCTTAGACCCTCTCAAGTTGTGGAAGGAGGAAGGTGGGCTGAATCCAGAGTTTTTACCCTATGTTCTGGACAGCCTGGGGGGATATGAACCTCTGCAATTATATTAAAAGTTGTTTATGTTCATATGTGACTATTTCTGGGAAGAGGGTTCCAAGCTTTCTTTATATGTTAAAAACAATCTTTGACCTAGTTATCTAGGTGACCAGTAGCTTGTAATCAGGTCTAAATTTTATTATTTTATGGTACTGTATCCTAATTGTTCTTTTGGGCAAAATATCACTGCAAATGGTTCTGTTGTAATTGATTTATTTCCCATATGCTCTAAGATACATATTCTGGAATTTGCTTAGCTCACTTGCTTAAGCCTCAGATTTTTATCATATAAGAAGAGTATTATTTTCCCCCTTAGAATTCTTTCTCATTATAAAAGTTAAAGTACAAATAAAATAATATTACCGAAGTAGCTAACATAGAAGGCAATAGTCTCTCCTAATCCTTGCAAATAGGCCATTTTAAGAAAGAATTTGAGAATCACCTTTGCATCCAGTCTTTTAAAGACTATGAAATGAAAGGACTGAAAAAAAATGGAGAGGGTCAGATGATTCAGAAAATACAGTGTTTGTAGCTGTGGCCCATCCTACAGTACAGCAGAAGCSCACCCTTCCTTCCTTCCTGGGGGTCAAACCCAGGCTCTCACACATGCCAAGCAGGCGCTCTGCCTGGGAGCCATATCCCCAGCCCAGAAGTAAATATTTCTGAGTGAACATGTTAAACAAAAAAGATTGTGGTCACATCTATTGTGTTCATTGTAAACAATTGATATGTTCTTCAAAGTTGGAAAAAATTGGTGTTTTTTGTTTTGTAAATTACATCTTTTAAACAATGTTTAAGGAAACTGTTTAAACAAGGATCTGCAAACTTTCTCTGTGATGAACTAGATAGTGCACATTTTAGATTTGTCAAGCTATAGTCCTCATCACAACTAAGAACTGCAGTTGTAACATGAGGGCAGTCTTATACAATRCATAATCAAATTAGTGTAGCCATGTTCCAATAAAGCTTTATTTATGCACACAGACATTGAGCAGCTTGTGGTCCACAGATCATCATTTGAAAACCCCTGATTTAGAGTAGCTTTGTCATAAGTTCTTTTGCAGATTTCAGAGCAAGAAACAAACGCAGAAAATACTCCCTGTTGGAGAACTAGATTCTCAATAGAAAGTTTGGTTCTGGACCTTTTCGTATTTCAAAATATTTTTAAGTGAAATATAGCATGGTAAATCTTAGTTAGATACAAAGAAGGTTTGGCAATCTGAAATGAACAAAAGCATTCAGATTTTTGGCAAGTGGTTAAGATAAAAGTGGCAAATTCTATCAATTGTGAAGTTTTAGTTGGCATTACCTGAATGCCAACTAAGATATACCAGAGGTTCTCTGCAACAAGCTTGCCCAATTGGCCAAGCACACCCTGGACTTTCTCCCCTTCTAAACCATCTGTTTTATGGAACACTATTAGAAATGTTGTATACATTATACCAACAATGACCTTTGGTCTGGTCTCATCTCTTTTGCCATATGCTATATTTTGTCTCTATTTAAAATAGAGTAAACGTTGGTTAATATTCATACAAAATGCTCTTGATGTGGAACAGGTCAGGAAGGTAGAAATGTCCAGGGAACACATCTGACCACTGTTTTCTGTTCACAGCGGCACATTTCAATACACCCTGGAAGCCACCAAATCTCTCCGTCAGAAGCAGGGGGAGGGCCCTATGACCTACCTCAACAAAGGACAGTTCTACGCCATAACACTCAGTGAGACCGGGGACAACAAATGCTTCCGACATCCCATCAGCAAAGTCAGGGTATGGGCTACATTTCTCCAAATGAAGTACAGAGAGATCAGATGGGTGAAATAGCTACCTCACAGCCTGTGGAACAGCATGGGAAAAAACTTCCAAAATAAATAATTCTAGAACAAATATCAGAGAGTTGGAGCAAGAAAACTTATTGGCTAGTTCCTCGTTTTAATCAGTAACCAATAAACCCCAGGGAAAAAGTGTGGTGGAACAGGCTTTCTGACTGTATCCAGGGAATTTTCCTTCTTTCATTCCTGCCTGGATGCTGTATATTTGTTTTCAATTGATTTTAATTTTTCAAATAAATAACTGTAAATCAGGACATTTCTGTGGGTGAGACGAGCTATTGCTTGATGTAAGAGAGAAAGAAATTAATTCTGAGTCCCTGGGCCCTTTTCAACTTTGTTTGGAAGCCTTCTATAGCCCAGGGCTTACTCAGGGTTCAAGGGATGAGGCCTGATCCCCACCAGAAACAACYTGGGGGAATTTTCAGGTTCCTGTGTATTAGTCCTATTGGTGAGAAATGAAACTGGATCCCTAACTCACTGCTTTGGAATCTTGCCAGTTTCTGGTATGCTCACTACTGCCAAGAAGGGTAATCCTTGGTAATCTCTCTCTACTGAAAAGGAAAATTATAGCCAAGCTCTGAAAAGAGGTTGAAGAACTTTCACAATCTGTTGTAAAGTAGACTTTTCTGGTCTATTTAAAAATGCTTTCTGCGGTTATACCCATGGTGCCCGGCTCCCCTTACTTTGCCCATAGCTTCTTCCGGATAAGTTCCTGGGAATGCTAGGAGGGGAATAGCGTGGCATGCTTAGAGCATGGTGCAGGCCAAGTTTACTTCCAGCACACATGGGGCCAAGGTCTCACACAGGGGCTGAGCTGATTGTAGGTCAAAAGGTGCTGTGTACATCAGGTGAATTAGAATGCCCCACCCCTGTGGTCAAAAACCATGATGGAGGATATACCACGACAACGACCAGCCACAGTGAGTCATACCAATTGAGAATTATTGAATATCTTTCATGTGTTGCATGACTAGTAACTCACTGAAACTAACAACAACCCTATGACAAAGACACTCTATTATCATAGTGTTACAGATAAGGAAACTTGGACTTTCAGAAGCTGGTAAGTGGCCAAGGCTACAGGAACCTAGGACATATCCCAGGCCACCAGACTCCTGAGCCCACCTCTCTGAATCACTAACATGTGCTGTGTTGAGCAGCCGAGGTGGGTGAAAAGCAGAGAAATTTCATCCTGGTCCACCTCTGGATATTTAACTTTGACATACTCTCACATATGGGTGTCTGAGAAGAAGACACCGGATACATTGGCTTTTCTTTTTAAAAGTCTTGTAAATTCCAAGTAAGAATTTAATTATATACATCCTCTTAATCTCACCATCACCATCATCCTGAAAAAATGGTGGACTATTAATATTCTAAGGCATGGCACCAGTATGGAGTATAGAGACTTTTCCAAGAATCCCACTTTGTGGGAATCATAGAAGTACTTTAATACAAAAAATATATTTCCTTTTGTTCTATTTTGGCTAAAATGAGAACCCCTCCTTTTCTTAAAGATTTCACTCTAACTTCTAATCTTGATAGTAATTTGGTATCTCTCAGAGTAGATCTTTCTCACCCAGCCCCTCTGGGACAGCAAGGAGTCTAAGGTCGAAGGAAAATACTTGTAATTTTACAGTGTAAAATTCTGAATCAAGGCATATAAACTTGATGATAACAGTTTAAAACTGATTTTTTTTCTTTCTTACAGAAGAAATGAATTTTAATACCAAGAATGCGCCATTACTTATGCTAATTTAATCTTTTGCTAGGGAAAAAATTGCTTTAAATGTTATTTTTATTTTGGGCCAGAAATAAACACCAGGAAACCACACAATAAACTTCTAAGTATATATGAACACATTTGTGGAAGAACAAGGGCTGGCTGAGCTCAGGGCTCATCACACAGTGAACAGCTTCCCCTGTAGCCACTAATCCTTTGACACTCTTGATGCTTGTGAATTCAAATGACATGGACACATATTTCTAAGCTAGTTTTTCTAACAAGCATCTGCTGTCTTATATAGAACATGTTCATATGTCCATTAGGAGTGAGCTGGGTTTTGAGTTGACAGTCAGCCACCAGCATGAATTTGCTGTCTATTGACATTTCTCGGGTTCCAGAGCTACAGTGCTGAATAGCAGACGTTCCTGACCTTGTTGAGTTCAAAGTCAATGGGAAGACATTGCCATTGCCTGAATAATTAAGTAAATGATTACAAATGTGTCAAATACTACAAAGGAAAAGTTTTGGGTTTTTTTTTGTTTGGTTGTTTTGTTTTTGTGGCTAAGGATTAAACCCAGGTCCTTGTACACACAAGGCATGTGCTCTTCCACTAAGCTACATCCCCAGCCCAAAAAAGTTCTGAAGGAAAGAGAGTCAATGAGTTATTCTTTTGAAATAGTCAGAAAGTGTCTAAGAAGTACTTTGGATATGGGATGAGAGGAGAAGCATTCCTGGCACTGAAGTTTCAGTGTTTTGTTTGTTTGTTTTGGTACCATRTCTATTTTGTTTATTTTTGGTGCTATCTTCCATTTCATAAATGACAGTGAATTTATGGGTGTTTAGTTTAATGAGGCTGCTTGTAACTTAGAACCAAAAGAGGTTTGGGATTTTTATTTCTTCAAGATAGAATCAGTTTCTCGAGATTATTTTTCAAGTACCTCCCTGTTAAATTTAAATAGATAACATATTTGCCCTTGTTTTTTTGTTTTGTTTTGGGTACTGAGGATTGAACCCAGGGTGTTTAACTACTAAGCCACATTCCCAGCCCTTTGTTTAAATGTTTTATTTAGAGTCTGGGTCTCACTGAGTTGCTTAGGGCCTCACTAAGTTGCGGAGGCTGGCTTTGAACTCGCAATCCTCCTGTCTCAGCCTCCCAAGCCTCTGGGACTCCAGGCATGCACCACCGTGCATAGCTGCCCTTGCATTTTTCAGCATATGGAATATCTGTAGTTTAACTCTGTGCATCAATAGGAATTCATCTTTCAGCATTCCCCTCATTTCCTTAATGTTTCTCTCATTACCTCCCCTACTTCAGCCCAGGCACTAAATTCGGCCAGAAGTGGATGTTGCTTCTTTACCAATGGTCCCAAATTCTGTTTTGGGATACAAAATTTCAAAAGTATGCTTATTTACAATATAAGAAAAAAATATTTTGCTGTTCTGGCTGACCTCATGGAATAATCAAAATTGCTATAGGATTCTCTTTTTTCCCTTTGTGTGGTTCTCATTTTCCATTTTTTTTTTTTAAGTAAGCACATTTAAAACAAAACCATCCATACAGCTGAACTCGTCTGGGCTCTCTTGCTTAAGAAACATACCCTCTAAGGCAACAGAAGCACTGGGCAGAGAGTAACCTCTCCATTCTCCCCTCTGCAGAGTGTGGTGATGGTGGTCTTCAGCGAAGACAAAAACCGAGATGAACAGCTGAAGTACTGGAAGTACTGGCACTCTCGGCAGCACACAGCGAAGCAGAGGGTCCTCGACATTGGTACGTTGGTCCTGACTTCCTTCGGGTCTTGATACACTAAACTTTGTGATGCCAAGGGGAGGCCCAGCACTGGGATCACAGCGAGGACCCTGTAGCTTTTGTGCCATGCCAAGCACCAATCTACAGCCCTCCCCTGTGTTAGTACAGTTAGCACAATCAGCCTTAGAAATTAAGAGCCAAGCATTTCTCTCCCCTGAAGGTCAACCAGGGCTTGTATAATAATAGTAGTACATCAGATTTGCAAGAACCATTTGGGTATCTAAAACACATTTTCATGCCCTCCTTGTTTGAATCTAGGCAATCAGCAGATTAGATGAGCTCTTGTTCCTATTCCCCCCGACATGATAAAGATCAGGCCTGTGGTGCTGTAAGGCCCTTGGCAAAGTTTTAAGCAAGATCTCGGGTCTGGTGCTCTGTGCAGTGTTCCTTCCACATCCCACACACCTAGTGCAAGTAGTACTTGGTGGTCAGGCTAATGACCACTGAAGAGACCTTCTCTGCCAAGGAAAGAAGGAATATATGTGCCAAGTTCATCGTCTGGAGTCTGTACACTCCTAAATATAATGTCTGTTCTCTGGAGACCATAGACCCCTGGACAGTGTCATCATCCAGGGTCCATATAGAAAGGTAGAGCCTATGCCAAGAAGTTCAGTGGAAGGAATTCATTGCCAAGGTTGGAGAGGCTGAAGGCACAGTGAGGCAATCCTGCTATTACCTGTTGGGCTGGAGAATCAAAGGGAGGTGGTGGTGGGTGTTGGGGAGCCACCCAGCAGGAGCTGGGACCACAGAGGGAGCAGTTTCCCATTAGGAGGCGGAGCCACAGAGGAATCACTGCCAGAGACTTTCAGTGCCAAGAGGGAAGAGAGGAAATGCCCTGGCTTCCCTTGTCTGCCAGTCTCCTGCCAGTGCTTCTCATAGACCACATTTAACCCAAAGCCAGAGGGCATATGACCTTAAAAAATGCAATTTTTAGGAATTGACTTCTGAGATACAGAGCCAAGTAGGGAAAGTCAAAGCATGGATTTCAAAGGTCTCCAAAAGTGATTGAAAACACAGCCAATAAAGCAAGCATTTGTAAGTATTTTAACATTTTAGTTACATGCTATTTCCATAAGGAAGAAATCTTTTCTCATATTCCAGGCTTCATTGCTCCATTTTGAAAACCACGGGGCTACAGTCCCCATGAGTATAGGCACAGAGAAGGTTTCCATTGTGCTGGGCATCAGAAGGCATCACTGAGCTGCTAGAAGGATGCTTTCTTTGATTTCTTACATAATGTAATGAAGGACTTTTCAGACCTTCCCTCTCAATCTTGCTAGAATCCCTTGACCAATGGCAGAGTTTGGCTAGTGACTAGGTTAAGGTTAGAGACTCAACATAGAACATATTGAAACTAATTATTGATTTGTCCTACAAAATAGTAAAGCCACTCCTACCCCTCATCAAACACATACACACATACACACACACACACACACCTGTGATAACTAGTCAAACATATTAATCTAATGCCCAAGGAAACAGGTCTAGAAAGGCTCCCTGACCTACTGTCTCATGTGACTTGTCCTCAGTAATTAGTACAAGTGCTGGAATAAAAATAGTCTTCCTGCCCTGGGTCCATATATTAAATCTAAGACTGAGATATGGGTTTGGGGAACTTGCCTTAGCTTGCTTTGTAACTAGTCTGCATAAAGCAGAGGAACAATTTTATTTTATTTGAAAAGTTAGCCTTATAATTATTACCCAAGAAAACGAGAGGAGCAATTAAATAGAAATTTGGGCTAAGTTCAAGTAAGGCAAATAATAAAAAGCATTTTACTGGCATACCTGTTGATTCAACTTTGATATTGTAACAGAGTTTAGTTTTCTGAGCCCAGGATGATTTCTCAGCTCTGGTAACCCTTCAAATCTTCTTTTATCTTTCCTTTATCACCTCTCATCTTCCTTCAGACTTTTCTCCCTTATACAACCCATGTATATGTGTGAAAGCACACACATGCACATGGACAGAACACATGCTTTGTCTTTGAAATCTATGACTTTTAATGAGGAACATCATGAGAAGCTTCACACCAGAGACCAAGGTACAAAGCCAGTCCCTTGAATTCAATTGGTGCAAATGTTTTCTGTGCACAAATGTTTTCTATCTGTCCTTAACCTCAACTTGACAGCTGCTCACAGGGTGAGAAAACGTGCAAAACTATCACAGAATTCCTTATAAAAGTCAAGCCAAATATCCCTCTGCCAGGGTTGTAAACATGTTTCTAATACAAAAGAGAACTGAAGTTGAGAGGCCATGTACCTGGGTACTGTGTGCCATCATCCATGGGAACTCAAGTGTGGGAGGAAGAACAGCCCTAAGGCACCCMCCCTGTACTCTACCAGGAGTCTGGCAGAGGATTATCAATGCCTGCTAAGTGTGCAGGAAGACCAGAGAGCACGTGTACCATACATGAGCCAATTTTGATTGACAGCCTTCTAATGGCCGAAAAAAGGAAGGGAAGAGTTTGAAATTATTTAAGGAAACTCTTTTTAAAAAAACTTCCATGAGGCTGAAAATTGAAGTCAGGGCTCAGAAATCATAGTTTCCATATCTCCTCTGGTGTCTGTGGTCTGCAAATTCAACTGAGCCATCCAGGTGGTGACCTGAAACTGGAATTAGAGTCCAATTTTGGGCCTTTCCTCATCTCCCACACCTAATCCTCTGAGTGGCCCTCAATGTGCTAGCCAGGCTCTGACTGCCAGACCCTGGGGGAGTCCTGTCTTTGGTTCCCTGCAAAAGAGAGCAGGGTTCTGAGGCCCAGGGCAGAGGGAGAGCTTGGAGCTGGGTCTCCAGCCAGGTTCCTGTGGCTTGAGTGGAGATTCCAGGTACTGTCTCCTCACTTATTCCCTTCTGCCTGGGATGCTGTTCACACTGATACTTAGGTGGCCTTTTCCCTCATTTTTTCCCCAAGCCTTGTCACCAAGGTATTCCCTGTCACCTACATACCCTCTTCATYCTCTAGCTCCATTATCTTTAACTTCAGGGCACTTATCACCACCTGACGTGTTATTTATTTATGTTCATATTTCTTCTAGTTTTGCTTCCTGCTACATGGTAAGCTGCATGAATGCAGAGCTTTCTGTTTTGTCCCTTGCTCTAGTCTCAGTACTTAGCACAGCACCTGCAACATACTGAGTGTTGGTCAGTATTTCATGAATGAATGAATAAATGAATGGATGAATGTGGGCAGGAAACTCTGATTATGCTGGTGAAGGGTGGGCCTGAAGGAATGAACTATACCTTAGTAACAGCTACCATTGCCTCCTGTGTTTCAGGCTCTAGAAACGTCATCCATTAGCATTTTCTCCTTCATCCTCAAAACAACCATGATGGGGTTTAAAAGCTGAGATGGTGAGGGGTAAGAATTTTACCCAAGATTCCACTCTTGGTAGATAGGGTGGAAACCCAAGAATGCCAGAATTTGGTCCTCTCTCTCAACCATATATCACTTTTGTATCTGAGCCCCTAGCTAGCTCCTGACACCCCRGGCACGTATTATGTGCAAAGGGTCTGAAGATATTCATTAATTGATGTCCTTCCTTTTGCCCTTACCTTCCAACACTGAGAACATTTTACAGTCTGGGTGGTAAAACTGTTAGCTGCTACTCATTCTGCAGTTTCCAAAAAGCTAGTTCAGATATGTGGTTCTTAAAGTATTTGGGGGTGGGGAAAGAAACATGAGTAATTATCTCTGATAAAAGTAAAACAAACAAACCCAGGCCCAAGTGAATTCTGCTGCTTTTCAAAACACACAAGCAAAGTTCTCCATGGCTCACAAGTTCTTTCTTGTAAGCTTCTTGAATAATAGCAATTACTCAGGGTCATAAATAAGTTCATACTCTGCAGCCCAAGGGACATTCCTGTGTCAATTATACCTCCTATGTGGAAAAGCCACTTAATTTTATTTGTAGTTTGTCTCTGAGTATAACAGCCCCATTATATTGAGACATGGAGTTAATGATGAGCCCATGTTTATTAACACCAGTTTGAGAAAATGCATACATTTATTGAGCACCTTCTGTGTGCCAGGCCCTTTGTTAGGCACTGGTGAGAAAAGTGGGATTAGCCCAGGGTCTTTCTCTCAAGCTGCTCAAATCTAGAGGTAAAAAAGATGAACAGCTAAAATGTCAAATGGTAAGAGGTAGCACAGAGGAACTCTTCCCAGAGAAGATGTTCTGGAAGGATATAAAAGGAATATGAGGTCCGAAAGGTAGGGGAGCAGTGGTGCTACAAGCCGAGGAAGTAGCACACGCTGGGTAAAATGATCAAGACAAAAAAATAAAATGAGATTGGAAAATTGTTTCAAGTCCATAAAACTGTTAGCAAAATTGGAGGGACATGAACTACCAAGCACACTAGTGAGAATTCATTGAGCCATGCAGAGCAGGAGARGGAAGGAAGTCCCAAATAAATGAGACTGGGAAAGGGCTTGATTTTTTGGGAAAGGAAAACACGGCTTTGCTGTTAGGTGGGTGTGGCACCCAAAGGGAAGGGGCTGGGAGACCTCAGAGTGACAAGGATGTGAAGCCTAGATGGAACTTGTTGGTCTCCAGCTCTGAAAGGACCCCTGGGTGGAGCTCTCTTTATGCAGCACAGGCTGAAGTCTTTGGGGCCAATGCTGGCTGGCTGTGTCCAGGAGGGCCATACACTTGGATGGCTCCTGATGTTAGAAGGTCATTGCCACTTCTATCYTGTTGGCAAACCTCAGAGCTACAGGTTAAACATCAGGGTCATGCTGGTTCAGCTCCTTTGCAAACACTAACTCCAGCATCTTTACAGAGGAACCTCACTGAGCCAGATGTTGAGGGTAAATAACCTCAGATCTTCTTGTCCTCTGTTGCTTTAACACTGTCATGGCTCCACAAAGTCTTGTTTTGTGGCTTTGTAGGGGGATGTAGGAGTGTGCATGCACTTATATTCCATATTGAGGTTTAACATGTTTTTTCTATTATTGAAC